TAAGATAAATACCATACGCTTCCTAATATGTTAAGTGAAAACATACTTTTTAAAGAGAGAAAATATTTTTTTTGAGAGAGAAGATATGATTGTTGGATATACTGGCCATGATACTCATTAATAATCTGAATTATTTGTATCATATATGTGTATATGTAAGCATGTATGAATATATATGTATATATGATACAAATATCTGATTCTTGAAGATGTGTTTACAAACATCTGAAAAAAGAATTATATATTTAATTAACTTGGGAAATGTATGATTTAAATAAGCGTACGATATAAATAATAAATACAAAACTGGTGATAAATTTAAACAAATTTATACAAAGCAACGAGATTGTCTAATGTATGCATATATTCTTAATATCTACTGCAGATAATATGTTTGACCAAGAACCTAGATCCATATATGGATAGATGTACAAGTTTTTTAATTTATAAATATAAACTTGTAAAGAGATAAATTAATAATAATGATGAAAGAGAAAATATAACACTAGAGAGAGAAAAATAATTGATTTGATATCTTTACATTTAAACACAGTTATATAGTTTGTATACTTAATATATATATACATACATATATGTATACACATGTCTACAAATAATATTAAAAATATATATGTATGTGATATAGATAAATAATCTTAATTTACAAAAAAGCTTGACATTAAATATAAATTATATGAAATTATAATTGTTAATTATTGACATATTAGATATTTGAAAATTTTCTTCAAACAACTATATCTTCAAATGAAGATTCTGAGGATCTATCGGACAATATGTCCATAGATGTTGATACAAAAAAAGATGCAGAACAAGATAGGAAACAACAATGGTTGTATTTGTTAGTACGTTGCAATAGTAAGGATGAGCTCATGCTTTTCGCAACTGGAAAAAATATCAGTCGCAATACTATGGATCAGTTGAAGCAGACATATGAGTTTGGTCTGGGAAAAGATTGTAATGTCAAGTCTCTTTATTGCAAATCAATAAACAAGTAAGAGCTCAACAAGATAAAGTACGCAACAAACAACAGAAATTTGCATACATCATTACATTTATTTCAGACGTGATGATAAAATTGTTACAACATTCTTAGTGGGAGCAGAAGCTCTAGACGAAATCGTGGGTAATCTAAAAGTGCAGCTTGCGCCAAAAACAAACTTTTGGTGTAATGCTGCCGGTGCATGGAACGTAGCTAAAACAGTTGCGGATATGCTTGCACCCACGCAAAAAATTACAGTGCTTGAAGTTGGTTGTGGAATCGGTGTAATTGGACTTACATTAGCATCTGTAAGTACTTGCGTAACTTACATAAAATATATATGTAAGTAAACGCGCATTAAACGATCCAAATGGGACAATTGACATATCTAGTACCGTAATATGTCACGCGTTATGTATGTACATAATCGCAATATTACACAAATTAGCAGAATGAGTAATGTACTGTCATTGCATTATAACAGAAATGTCGAGAAGTGATAGGAATTGATTCACCTTCGGAAATAGAAGAAGCTGAAATGACGTGCGAATTGAATAACATTTACAACGCATCATTCATAATGGGATCTCCATCCGAAGTTGTAAATAAACTAAATTCTGCGCGTGATTTGCATAATAAAAATCGCGTAACTTATTGTATAATCAACGCGAGCACCAATATGGGTAGAGGTATGCAAAATCGATTTTTGTTAGTCGTTAATATTAATATTGTTGGCGATTTAATCAACAACATTAATTTAGCATTTCGACCACGACATATCTTGTAATAATAAAACTCTAAAGTTATGATATCTTTTAGCTATTGAAGTAATGACGTGCTTAAGAAAAATCAATTCTCTTCGACGTATCGTAATGGTCACTACGTTGACAAAACAATCAGTTCGTGCAATATTAGAACTTGCACGGCCTATAGAAACTGGGCTAGGTCATCCATTCATGCCAATTCGAGCATGTGTCGTCGATACATTGCCTACTGGACCTCATTTTGAGGTAGCTATTCTAATGGAACGTAGACTCATGCATAGGCTCACGCAACCGTGGTTCATCAAGATGTTGGAAGAAGAAAGCAAATCATTAGCTAATACTAAGGCTTTAGAGAAAATAATCAATAATGATAAAACTGAAGATGCTGATCCACGATTAAGAAAAAATCCATTAGCGAAACCTGAACTTGTAGAAAAAACCAAAATGATACTCTCGAAAAAGATAACTAAAGCAGTGAAAAGTGGTTCAGGTTCAGGTTCAAGTTCAGGTTCACCAGACAAAGGTAAAACAAAATTGAAGCAAGACCATTCGCCTGATATAATAGAAATAAAAAAAGTGTCTAAGAAAATTGAAAAGCCTGGATTTAAACCAGGACAACAGGGTAAGTTGAACGATATAAAACTAATAGTACACAATATTATTCTATACACCTAATCAATTTTTTTGTTAACTAGATGTTACAGCTAAGAAAAAGAATTGGTTTCATGAAAACTCAGCACTTCGCATCAATCCATTATTCGAGAAAAAAACAAGAGAGAATAAAGAACAAGTTGATTTAAGAGAAAAATTATTAAATAATCGAATTGACACAGATCTAATACAGAAAGTAAATGAAAGCCGAGAAATTCTTGAAGCAGCTAAAGAAAAGTTAAGTGGTCCATCTCCTACGGTTGACGCAACGACCGCCAAGGAATTAAAAAATGTATTAAGTTTGGTTCTTGATCAAACCAATAAACTTCAAACTCAATTGCCACGTTCAGTGTGGGATCGTATTGCGCCACCTGAGCCTGAGCCAAAGACTCAAGTAAAGAAAGAACTCGATGATGATCCTCTTTTAAAAGGTCGATTTGTGCAAGAAACCCGTGCTCAGGCTATCGTTATCACGGCACAAAATAAAGAATATTTAGAAACCAATGATACTAAATCAAAATTTAAAAAATATCACAACTTGGCACCACTTGAACCAGATAATGTAATGCCGGTATCGAAAAAATTTAAAGCCGACAATATGCCTCAAAAATCATTCGATAACAGAAATAGACAACAAAACCAAGATAATTCTTGGAATAGGAATAAAGGTTTTAATAGAAATCGTTGGAATAATACAGGATCAGTCAGGAAACCTGCTTCTCCAATGAAAAAGCAGGATTTGTCATTTAGACATCGAGAACCACCGTCGGATAGATTTTCACCAAAACGTCCGTTATTATCATCACCAAGGCGTCAATGTTCGCCGCCTAGAAGACATCTTTCACCGAATAAATCGTATCAAGCACGTGACTCTTCGCATCGAGAATATTCTCAAAGACGGCCAGTGTCGCCAGTAAGATTAATGGTATCTCCATCCGATGGTAGACATCATGTGTCTCCACCTAGACGTTCATTTTCACCGCTTAACCGAGCAATGTCTCCGCCAAGGCGATCTATGTCAGCTTCAAATCGGCCATTGTCGCCTGTGCGACGACATATATCGCCGTCGAGACCACAATTATCCCCGCCAAGACGACAAATGTCACCGATGGGATACGATTCGTCCATAAGACAGCTATCTCCAGAAAGGAGACCTATGTCGCCTATTGGCAGAATGATGTCTCCATCAAGATCAAGAGATATGATACCACCGCGCCATCAGTCATCTCCCATGAGATGCTTTTCACCACATCGGGTATCACATATACGTGGTGCATCACCCTCAAGGCGACAACAATCCCCGCCGAGACGCCAGGGCTCTCCACCCAATAGATTTGCGGACGAATGGGATATACCAAGCCGAGGAGCTATTGAACAGAGCAGCACTTGGCAACGGTCTGTTAACGAAAGACCAGAAAACGTTTGGCGTAACGAGAGGCAATCAACAACAAGTGAAAACTGGCAGACTTCGTCTGATAATGATAGATATCGGAAGTTAATTAATCAAGACACATCCTGGAATATCAGAGATTCTTCGTCTCATGGAAACTTATGGAATGCAAAGCAATCCACCGCAAAGCCCAATATGAAAGAATCATGGCAACCTTCGGATAATAGATGGGCTGGTTCATCTAGATCGGGAACTAGCGGCGAAAATTGGAATCGAGGCAACGAAAGCTTGGGTGGCCGTAACAAGGAATCTTGGATGAATACGAACAAGCCGCGATGGGAACAATCGCAATCTAATGATTGGAATCAAGGAGACAAGGATGATTGGAATGATCTTCCAGAAGATGCACGGGATCCATGGGGCGATGAAAGTAATCTTGATCTGAAAGAAAGATGGATGAACGCTGACAATCAGATTGCGTCAACTAGCTGGTCCAGAGAGGTTGATAAGGGGGATTCTTGGGCAAAATCTAAAGACAATTGGCAAAACAAGCCACAAGCATTTCCAGCGAAACCAATGTGTCAAAACAATAGTAATCCGAACATAAACGACTCGCGCTGGTTACCTCTAAATGATATGAATAAGAAAATGCCATCATCGAATAATTGGCAAGGAGGCACCAACGTTGGAGCCAATATTGGAACCAATATTGGAACTAATGTTGGAACCAATGTCGCGTGGCAATCATCAAACTATGGTTTTCAGTCGCAACGATCTTTTGTACCCAATTTATACAAAGATCGTCGTTAGACATTAGATAAGACATTTTATGTTACATAATAGTTTAGCAACACGTTTTATCATTTTAAAAATATTTTTGATTTATAAAATAAAATATAAATTTTTCTTCTTGAATGAAAAATTATATTAAAAAAATACAGTGAATAAATATATAATATTGAATAAAATATAGATTATAAAATGTTAAAATACCCGTTCTTATAATCGTGATTTAGATTGTGATTTTCGAATATAGCATAGTGTTTCAGTGTTTCCATTCTTGTTTCAAGTGATATAATAGCATACTTTATTAACATATATTCATAAGTGAAGTAAACAATATTATTAAACAATACTATTAAACATTTTTAATGTTATTAATCAATATTATTTTTGCAATAAAAATAAAAATAGGCTATCTGCATCATAAGCAT